GGAGAATTCAGGGAATTCACGAACCTCGGGTTGATCGACTTTGTTGCCCCCAAATTTTTGTGCAACAGATCCAGCAGCTGGGGCAAGTACGGACTTCGGATACGAGATCTTAGGGGCCACATACTCCTACACCGTGGAAATGCGGGACACAGGACATTACGGGTTTGAGTTGCCTGAGAATCAGATTGAGCCCTGTGCAGAGGAAATGTACGCTGCATTCATAGAGTTGTTCTCGCAGGTCCTGAGTAAGGTCTGAACAAATTCATAATTAAAGGAATTGGAAAAGGATCTGACAGTTGTGAAAATATCGTTATAAATCGTTCTGTGAGCTTAATTACAAAAGAAAACAGATATTACAATTTGAAAGCATAAAGGAAGGTAAACATGAAAATTTTCGAACAAATCTTTCTGGTAGATTAACGTATAGGTATCCTGTATCATGAGGAAGGTGATAGAAACTGGAAACGATTCTAAAAAAGATCAGGGATTGAGAGAAACTGTTTTATGCGAGTGAAGAATTGTTTATGTGCATTAGGTAAATTAAGAACACTTACATCCATCAAAAAACCTATAAAAGTACTGGTACAAACTAATATTTGGACCAATATCAAAAACCCGGAAGTGAAACTACAATGAGCGTTGCGCCATGGCTTAGACAACTTTAGACCAAACAATTATTTCACCTGAAATAGAAAGACTTATTATTTTCTTTAAAGTTAAAAAGATTTGTTGACTTCAAACGAGAGTGCAGAAATAAATAACATATACCCACAAGAAGCAATTTGCTCATTGCAATATTGATATGAAATTGTACGTGCATTAACTAAGCGACCAGGAAATGAGCTCCATAGAAACTGTAATGCAAGAATTCAAAGGGTCTTCCTTTATTTAATCCAATATCACCCAAAATTAAGTAAATCCACGTGAAATTCAAAAAATGACAGTTTTTCTCTAACCCTAGATCTCTTATGTTCACTTTTACTGGGATGTATACAGCTGAAACTGAAATTAGTTGTTGATATCAATTATTTAGAAAATGAATATCTAACTTGATTTTGCTTTGGATCAATAACTAGAATTTACTGTAGACATGATTTTGGACTGTTTGTCAACAGTATTGTCACTGAATGAGTTACTCAATTATAGCACATTTGTCAGATGGAAGTGGACTTGAATCCCAAAATAAACGTGAAACACCAGATTAAAGCAACATAACAATCGGGTATTTGATGGCTGTCTGTCCAATTTGTGTCGTTTATCTTCTAGGGAAAATAATACACTGCCATAGACAACACACATGATGAAGAGTCCCCTTAGAGACACAGCCTTGAGCCCTCTTGAGTCCAAGCCTGAAAAAGAGGGTCTATATGTTCTGCTATAAACAACATACACGTTTCCGCAAATATGTAATGCAAATATAATCTTTGATGAGATAAAATACCTGATTTTATTGGAATATAGACTAGCTGAACCCATTAGAGAATTTGAAACAATTGCAAAACGTCGATACCGGGGTCTGGGCTCAGAAAAAAAGTTCGGACTTGAGCCTTTTCCTAGTCACAGATTGATTGGTCTCTTAAGTCTACGTTTTGGCTGTTCTGTAGGACTTACACACATCATAAATTGTCCTTTTGGGGGACGCTTAATGCCCCCATTTAGGTCGTGACTCCTAAACCTCACACAGCTTGTTATATATCTAATATTGTGCACCACTGCTAACGCCCCGTGGATGGAGTTCCTCACATAAACTTGAAGTTGTTCAAAGTTAAGCTAACTCAGGGCCTAACGACTTCCTGATAAGTCGCTTCACTTTCAGGTACATCTACACGCAATAGCAGCCCACACAACAGCTCTGGGTATTAAACTAGCTGGCTGTATGAGACTCAACTAACACACTGTAAGGAACGGAAGGAACGGAATTGACAGAAGGAACTGACTAGCTTGGCGCACTGACCAGTAAATAAGTTGCCGTAGACAATAGTGATAAATAGCCCCACTTCAAAAAATCTGGAAAAATACTCACAAGTTTCACAGATGCTCAAAACAAATATCAAATTAAAGATCACTTCCTCATCTTTCATTTTCTTTTCAATTTTCAGTGGCTTAACCGATGACTTTTCAAAATACCTCTCTCCAGAGAAAATAACACCTCAAAACAGTCAGGAGGCCCATTACCATTTTGGAAATTGATGCCAACACTCCATGGCAAAATAGGGCAGTTTGGAGGGCCCCGTTTGGTCCGATACTTTCAGAAATACACGCTGACAGTCCTGCCTTGCATTTCATCCACCTTTGTAACAAACCACCCAATCCAAGTGCCACCAATTGCTCTAATAGCAAAGAATATGACAGCCTACAAATCGTGATTCGGTCCGCCCAGGCAATTTAGACCTATTTACTGGTCTGCAACCTAATGCCACTCGTGTCGCCAGCTTGGCACCACTTACTATATTCGTTCCCATCCGACGTCAAGGTATGCGCCCTAACCCTAACTATACGATAACCTAAAATTAACAATGCAAACTGCTATTGCGCCACAGCCGCACCTTAAGTTACGGTCCCTTGACTGATTAAACTTACGGAATCAAATATGAGCTGAAAACTAATTGAAACCTCACAGGAACACTTCAGAACTAGTTAAACAAAAGCAAATGCCTTCAAGACACCTATGAAGGCGTAATAAGCTAACGCAAGGCATTCTGTATAATTCTATGACCAGGTCCGTCAATAAAGGCGACGTTATAGACGCACGTAGTCTTGTCTTTCAAGATTTTCCGGTCACCGTGTACAGCACTCTGCATGTGGCTTCCATAATCATGGTCACTTCCAAGTGATGTGGTGTTCAAGGTCTTCTTTGCTGTAGGGTGGCCCTAGGCGGTCGATCGTCCCCGGTATCAGTGCTCTGTACAACCCTGCAAATCCTAGACTCAGACGGTGGAGTGGCAGGCTCTGTCTCGCTCAGTCGGGTTATACTCCCAATGGGTCTTTCCTCGCAGCGCCATCGACTTCTCCCGATACAGGTAAGTCTCCCGTACTTCTCTTACTTTCACGGCTTGACCCGGCAACATGTTTTCGCCTTTTAACAACGGTCTCACCCCGGTAGTACCTTGCTGGTTTGCTTTATCTTTCTCATCTTCTTGATTGGTGCCAACCCCTATCTTCATCATAGTGTGACTTAGTTTAGTGTAAAAGATTAGTCCAATTAGGGAATCCCCCAGTGAGTAATGTCACGGGGAGAGTCATGTGGACAGCGCGTGCAGCGTTGTGATTGGCAGCATGCTGCCCAGCAGTGCCGTGTGCACGAGGGAGTGTGTGCGCGGGCAGTGCAGTGAAGAGAAGCCTTCAGTAGGCAGTCTCTGTTCGTAATGAGTGCTAGTTGTGAATGGTGGCCGATCACTGCCGTTCGCTTTTCTCTCATAATCTATTTACAATGTAAATTGTTTTTCATTGTAAAAAGATTTGTTAATTCATTTTTTTCAATGTAAAGTAATTTATAAAATTAATGCATTGACAAATGCAAATTCTTTTCGAAACTTAAGTTGTTTTTAAATGCACTGGTAAATGCAATTTCTAAATGCAATGTCAAAGTCAAAAGTTATCGGCCGATCGCTGCCACAGTATCCCATAATGCTTTGCGACTTTGTATCAGACTAGGCCCTTGATAAAATAATCTGCCAAAAGAGGATAGTGCGAATCATCGGGTCTCATACGTGCCCAGCATCATTCAGCTTCCCCCATTGCGCCAGCCGCGCCATGACAGTCTACGCTAGACATGTTTACAGCCTCCCGAGAGCTAGTACATTATGTACAGCAATGCTGTCTACTAGTCCAGTCAATTTACGACCAGAATGGCACTAACCTGGAACATAGAACATTCCTAACCTGGAACACTGCAATAAAATTTATTTTAACTGTTTAACATTTTTTCTGAGTCTTTGTGTTTTTAAAGAAGTCGTAAAGAATGGGCGATGCAGAGCTCCTGAATGTAGCAACATCAGTTTTCCCATTGACCTCGGAATATAAGTTCATTGATATAGTGTTTGTGGATCTGTTTTTTCATGCACTTACAACTATAATAAGCCTCAGTTCTGAAAGCTAATATTTCTGACTAGGTCGGTAACCATTGTTTGCTCATCATCATGAAGTGTTCCATCACTGTCTTGAAGGCTTCCACCTTAATTTTATCACACGGTCTACCCTTTTACATGTGTCTGGGTCTGCATACATTTTGGAAATTTTCTGAAACTTTTACTCTGCATTTACATGTATTACGGTAAACTGCGTCCGCAGCAAGTCAATCCTGTGCATACATAATTCTGCCTTTTACAGTGGTTGACCAACTGTCATTTCGTACACAACTTTATGCTGAAAATCCACTGTTCTCACTGGAATGAGGACCCAATCATTTTTTCCCGTGATACTTGTCCCCTTTACCACAAAATAAACAACGCTGTGCAAAATTAAACACAGAAGACACAGATCGCAGTACGTGGCAGTCACTAGTTGACCCCTTTTCTGTGCGTTATGGTCTTATTTGCACAAAAAACGCACTTGCCCACGACTTTTTCCACTCTGCTCAACCTGGGAGTCCCAGCCTTGTATGAAAAATTCTGATAATAAAGCAGGCAATAATTTCCTGGAAGGTCTTGGTATGAAGTTAATGACATGCAGTACTGTTTTCGGTATATAATTTAATGTCATATTTATGACTGATGATAAATATAAGCTTTTTCCTACGTTAAAAGTTCGCTTTATTACCCAAGTAAAACGCCGGTCCGTGGTCTGCCACCTTCGCATTCGGTCAATAGTCCTGGGCACGATGTAATACTTTTTATATTCTGCAAGTCAGGTCACCAGACGAATTAAGAAAGGGCACCCTCAATAGTTTGGATATAAAAGAACTGAAATTTTAACCTCAAAAATGCTTCCCGCTTCCCACAAAAAAAATCTTCCCACTCCATAGAAAAGTTAGATTTTTCACAACTTCTCTGTATATTTATTAAAAGTTGTATGACACTAAAATGAATTCTATTGCAATTTGCTCAAGGTCCAAACTTAATTTGACTGGATATACCGCGTGTAATGAAGGCCTCCTTCTCGTAGCCAGTCTAATACAAAGTCGCAAAGCACTATGAGATACTGTGGAAGCGATCGGCCGATAACTTTAGACTTCCACATTGCATTTTGATATTGCATTTACAAATGCATTTGAAAACAACTTTAGTTTCGAAAAGAATTTGCATTTGTCAATGCATTTATAAATTACTTTACACTGAAGAAAAAATGCTTTTTCAATGCATTTAAAAACAACTTTGTTTCTCAAAAGAATGTGCATTTATCAATGCAGTTATAAATTACTTTACATTGAAAAAATGAATTAAACTTTTTACAATGAAAACACTTTACATTGTAAATAGGTTATGAGAGAAAAGCTAACGGCAGTGATCAGGTACCATAGTTGTATATTGTAGCGCCGGCGGGTCCGGCCGGTGGGGGCGCCAGCTCGGACCCGCATGGA